TCCACAACATCTCTGGGGATCTGTTGCCATGTTTGATTCCTCTCGTTGTGATTATTTTTTTTTTTTCCTAATATCTAATTGAAATTTCCCTTCTTGTAATGTGTTTGTTCGCTCTTGTCCTATCACTGCTCATCTCCAAGAAAAGTGGTATTAATCCTATTTGCAGTGTCAGCTTTATTTGGTTCAGTTATGAGCACAAAACATTCTGGTCTTATCGTAAGACCATTTTGAACATTGTCTATTTTGAACAACATGCCGTGATTAACGGGAACTTAACCACTGGCACCGAATTGGCCTTTATCAGTACAACTGAAATAGTCTACAGCTGTTCTTTGGTTTCTGTGTGCGTATGCCACAAGGACTGTAGAAGCAACACCACTGATACTGTGTAGGTCTAATCTTCAAACTTAAAAATAAATCTCGCCTGCTACAGAAGGCTTATTCTGTAATCAATTTCTGACAAAGTAGTAATATCTCAATGGGGTTGCTGTCACTGTTATTTGCACTGAGGAATACCTTTATTCATCAGTAGAGGACCTCTGGAATTGGTACCCTAATCAGTACTGCTGTTTGAAGTGATGTCAAGGCCTGCATTTGAATTCAAGTTTTTTCTGTAAACAAACCTATTTTGATGCACAGTGTGCCATCGAGAGGTACAGCTGGGCTGTAGGCAATCCTTGGAACATAGCAGCAGTGCAGGAGTGTCAGCTTGAGCTCTCACACATGGACTAGCCTTCATTCTTTACCAGCAATTGATGTTAAAAACAACAAGTATAGGATCGGTGGGAGTCCAAAGTATAAGATCCATACTGAGGCAGTATAATGTCGAGATACACGTTGAAATATGCCATTTTTTGTCTGCTTTTAGATCTGTATTTCTACACATAATATAAGCTTACTTACACAGTGTTGACTGTGATGGCCACACAAATACAAGGAGGTGAAAGAGTGATATTTCAGTCAGCCTGCTATTTCTCCTTTTTCCAAATCACATTAACTATTTTTTCATAAAAATGACAGTGCTCTCAAATATATTTTTTTTCCTAATATATTTTTTTCTCCTCTCTCCACAGTTTTTTGCCTTCGTGGTTACCTCCTGCTATGCTGGAAACACGTATTTTAGCTTTATATCTTGGCGATCACGAACTTTGCAGTAAATATTTTGTTAAAATGAATTCTGTAGTATAAAATATCTTGAAGATCATACTCTTTGACAAAAGTTTGGAAGAAGGATGAGGTCTTTTTGAATGTTTCTGTTAGAATGGACACAATATATTTTAAGATGAGATTAAAATGATTATTTATAATACAATATCATCTTTAGAGACATCTAACACCGACTTTGTACTGTATAATAAAATTTCATAAGGCTTCTTTTAAAATTAACATGGTATTTTTCTAGATGCTGTATAGATGTTATTACTAAACCTTTAATAAATCTTACTCAGACCATGTGCCAATTTTGTAACTGTAACTTTTTAAATGTTACAGGTATACTTTTGATACTGAATGCTACAAATGAAAACCAAGATTGATACTGTCTCATGTATAAAAAGTGACATTCTGCAGAAAAAAAAAATACCCAAAACTTAAAAAATAAATAAATAATTGGCCCAACTGTGCATATTTTGTAAACTGGGGAGTAGAAGGTTGCTTTTTGATTTCTTTTTCAGGGTAAAAATATATACTACTAAGAATTCTGATGATTCTGTCAGTTTGCGTATTCTAACAGCTTCTCACAACCATGAAATTGCTTTGGGAACCTGTTACTGTATGCCTGAAGCTCACTGAAGGAATGTTGCACATGAAACACATTGTCTTAACAGGTTTCTCAAATCCAACAGGCTCCAAGGCATAAGTCTAGACAACAGTCCCTTTATGCTCAGTGTTTTACCTACTGAGAATATCACAAAACACCTGCTAAAGGTAATACATTTTGTTTCTCAGGGGACTGTGTTTTTCTCTTTTCTCTTCACATTAGGCCATTAATCTATCCTAATTAAAATCTAGGCTTCTAAATCCTATTAAATGATATAAAGATTAAATCCATAGAAGAATTGTCAAGACGCCAGTGCTAAGAACAAAGAATTTTCTCCTGCCTTCCCTGCCTACTGGCATCATCTGTGAGTTGTTAGTTTAACAAATGAACTTTTTAATTTGACGCTCATATTTAAATATCTTTGAGTCAAGCAGAAGTATGAAAGAAGATGATGACTTTCAAAACAGATGCCTTTGAATATTACTTTCAAATACAAACTACCTAAGGAATTTTTTCCAGGAATTATGTGGAAAGTGTAAGGTTGTGATTATTTTGTGGTATTATTTAAAGATTTCCTCATTTAAAACTACTGGTAGATCTTTTATTACTCGATTAAGAAGATTTGGACTCTCCTCCAGTCTTCGCAAACTTAGCTGGAAGATTATATATGGTAGTAGAGAAATCTTACTGCTTAAAAAACTTCTTTATTTCTCCCTGTAACTAAATAGTGTGGGCTTACTTACATGCATGCCCTGCAGCAAAGAAGATTTATCAGCAGCCAGCTAATTCTGTTCTCTTCTTGATCACATTGTTTTGTTCTTGATTATCTGTCTGGAGTCACAGGATTTCAGTGTAGGGGAAGCCAAGGTACTATTTAAAAACCTGTATTTGTCTGCAAATCGCATCTGGTCTGCACAACAAAGGTCAGGCTGTCTGCTGCTTGCTAAAATTATCCAGTTGTGAGAAGGAAGAAGGGCTACCAACTATGCATTTTATCTACACAGATAAAATGTGTCATTAAAATCCCGTATGCTCTTTTCCATTGCTGGAAAACAATCAAAGGCATAAAAGTGATCCAAATGTCAACTGATAAAATGTGACTAGAAATACAGCCAGAATTAAAAGCTCATCAGTGATTTCTCATCAGTAAAAATACTTTAGTAGTAATAGAAATTCTTTCTTAAATGATATTTGTTGTACCTATCTTAAGTGCAAAGAACATGACTGTATTTGTACAAAAGTTTCATGATTTTGTGGTAACTGCGATGGTCTGATCAAAAGTCATAACCCAGACAACATTTGTGGATAGAGGTAGTAAGAGGGAGTAAAGCTAAGAGGGAGTAACATGTTTCATCCAGTTTATCAAAAACTATCATGGAAACTGTGTACATGTCAATAAACCCATTAATGATGGACAAACTCACGCTATTAGCAGATAAGGAATGATTCTGGCATAATATCTATCATCTCTCTGAGTCTTTAGTGCTGATCTTCAAGGGAAGATGTATGGAATGTCTTCCAAAGGCAAATCTGTGAGTTGAATCCTTAATTCTGAATTTAAAAAAATACATACTAGGCAGAAATTTGCATTATGGTTGGCCTTGCTTTTTTTCACCAGCCTTATCTGCCTTATCTGCATTAGAAAGATAATTATCTTACTTCCTATGCTCTTTCTCATCTGTCTCATTTCTCATCTGTTCCCCAGATACACCAACTGTCTGTTTTTTTCAAGTGTTATGAATTTCTAGGTAAAATTGGAGGAATGAGTTCAAGCTTAGAATTGCTCCTGAAGTTTGTTCCTCCTACTTCAGGCCTGAAGAAAGGCATAAGCTCACAAAAGGTTATCTGTTTCTTCAAGTGCATTAGTCTTAAATACTGACTTGCAAACTATGACTTATGCCTTTGTATATTCTAATACTGATAAAGAAGATAAGCGAACTGTGGTTTATCATGTAACAATTTAAACAAGATTTCTATCTGCAGGCATTGCATAGTGTTCATAAAATTGAAAAAAAACTTATTTAAAAGAACAACTGGTAAGTGATGAAGTCAGTGAAATTCTTAATACAGATATTCAGAAGAATAAACAAAATGCTAATCAACTTGCAGAATTAAGGTATTTGGTATTATAGATAACTTGTTTCATACAGTCTCTGAAAAATCCAAGTCACCCACATACATAAGGATACTTGATGTCAACTTACGGCCATCAAATTTCATTTATTAAGGAGTTGTCAGTATCTCTTACCATCATCATCATACATGGTGCACTTAACAAAGTGAAGTAAATAGCATGAGAACAGTAATAAAAACTTCAAATTCAGCAGTGTTTTAGTCTGACTTTGTGCCAGCGGTTTTCAGAAAATGCCTGTATTTCAGAGTAGAAAATATGACTGTTATTCTACTCATTAACTTTAAGGTATTTCTATTTTGCCGGGCTGAACTCAGATCAGCAGGGCCCCATTCATATACACACTTTCAAAAGAAGTTAAGAACTAAAGAAGCTGAATCAGCAGGTAAGAAACATATATTTCTTAATAGGAAGTACAGAAGTTACCAGAACCTTCCTCTTCAGGGCTTGCAAGAAACCTAGGAATGTGCATGCATCTGAACTTGAATTGTAAGAAGAAGGGGAGGTGGGGGAAGAAGCAGCTGTTTAAAAAACAACAACAAACCAAACCCTCTTTCTCAGCAGCTAGCATTTGTGTAGACTGGCAATGTTGTAGCTTTGAAATCTAATGACATGAGCTAAAATTTGGTGGGACAGGTAATACCTTTTCTCACAACTATGTACTGCTTAGTCTATTACAGGCCGTTGCCTACACTGCCCAAGCCTGCCTTGCTCATGTAAATTACTTATGCTAGACCCTTATTTGTGTTGGAGATCATCTGATCTTACCTGTTCGCCCTCCTAAGACAATTTTAGTTGCTGAAGGAGCTATTAAATACTAAATATGAACAGAATGTGCATCCTAACTGCAGAACAGCAGAAAATGGGGTTACTCCTCTGAAGAGTATAAAAGCTCCATCTGCCCAGCTTAGAGGCTTGCTATTACCTCACTTGTCAGAAAGCAAAACAAGTTATTTTTAAACTTGAGGAAATACATAGCTTCCTTTACTGACTTTTGTTACTATCTCTGCATGGTTGAATTCAAACAATGGGGTTGAGACATTGGGACAGTCGTTACAGTTTTGCCTGTCGCTGCCCATTTAATGCAAACGTCTTATCTTTTACGAGGTCATGAATCAGAAGGTTTGGGGGGGTTTCTTGGTTTTCTGGGGTTGGGTTGGGGTTTTTTTGGTGAGGATAAGTGTTGCGGGGGAAGACGCTGTCTGCAGCCGTACCTCTCCACTGCGAAGCACTGGAGCAGTCTTTCCCTCCAAGAACATTGCCGGCAAACTTGGAGAGGCCGAGGGGGTCTTTTACCGTTCGAGTAAAGCTCCTGACCGCTGCGGGGGTCAGTGGGGAGCCCTTCCCCCTCCTCCCGGACCCGACGACGTACAGCCGAGGCGTCCCTCTCCCGCCTTGGGAATGTTCTCTTCGGCCTCAGCTTTCGAAGCACTGGAGCAGTCTTTCCCTCCAAGAACATTGCCGGCAAACTTGGAGAGGCCGAGGGGGTCTTTTACCGTTCGAGTAAAGCTCCTGACCGCTGCGGGGGTCAGTGGGGAGCCCTTCCCCCTCCTCCCGGACCCGACGACGTACAGCCGAGGCGTCCCTCTCCCGCCTTGGGAATGTTCTCTTCGGCCTCAGCTTTCACGGAACCCAGCTGCAAAAGGGGGACCGGCCGGGCTGCGGCTGCCCGTTCGCAAAGGTGCAAGGGGGGAGTA